AGTCACACTCGAGCAGAGATCCTTTGTCTGCATGTCCGCTCGAGCGTAGAAAGACACGCTCGAGCAAGACCCCTGTTTTCTGAAAATTTTTGAAAAGTGTTTCAAAGTGCATCTTTGCATCCTCATTCCATCCTAGGCATTCCTAGGCCATGTTTAAGGCATCTTAATGAGGATATTGATGTAGAACCACACCGAGTTAAGATAGGGACTAAGTTGTTTATTCCCAAGTGTGTAACTTAGTGTGTGATCGTTTTGTAACTGTGTAGGGTTGGCATCCGAGGACGCTCATTAGCTGCTTATAGCCCAGTGCTCTGTGAGTAATAATGTTGTAAAGATATGTTCAATTATGAATATTTTCTGAATGATCAACTGCTCTATTTACTGAAACGTTATTGTTTAATGAATGAATGTTTGTCCTATTTGTAAACTGTATCCGTGGCATCCATAGCAATTTACTATTACTGTACTGTTACTGCTACTGTCACAGAGATCTCTGTCGATTCCCATGTTTGGAACCACTACTGTTTACTGTTATGATAGCCATCAACTGACTGCTTGGTCTGTCAAGACCTATTGTACTGTTTTGCTATGGGATGTACCACCTATGACTGCTATGGTTTCTGAGTGACTAATATGACTGTTTATTTACTAAAAGGACATTCATTCTTAACCTTACTAAAAGGACATTCATTCTTAACCTCTTTACACAACTGTTATTCACTGGTTTTTAGCTCGCTGTTTATATATATATGTAGGTGTCCAAGCACCGAACCGATGCTAGGAGCGTCAGGCTAAGCTCCCGTTTTGTCAAAGCCAACCATTGTGCCTCACTTCAAGGTTCTGAGTGCGCCAAAGCCAAGGCTGTTTTGGGGTGTTTTAGATTTCCCCTTTTGCCTCTGTTCTGTAATAAATGTTTAGACTGGCACTGTAAAGTTTGAAGAAGGGACTTGGTCCCTAACCTGGATGTTATGTGCACCTGTTATGTATATACTGTTTTGGTTTTGAATGTGATTATCTTACAGAAAAGTCTTTTTGCATACAGACTGTCACAGCTCATTGGACACTTTTTATTTACTGTTTTGGCTTCCGCCAGCCCCTTTACTTTGTATTACTATCGTTACTGTTAAGCAGGCCTTTGGTAATCACGGATTACTGGCCGGTTACGGTGCTAAACCCATAGGGGCGGGTTTGGGTTGTGACACACAGTTTGTAATGTTTTATTGGCTTAATAATGTGATTAGAGGAAATTCAACATTTGTGTATGCCATTTTTTTGTTGAATCTAAAGACACATTTCTTGAAGGAAGTTACCAGCCATTCCCATATCACTAAAGGCCTCAAGTGCTTCCAATATATGGATTCTCTGCATTACATAAAAAATGTATCAGTATTTACTTGAAACTAACATGAACATGTATACATCTACCTTCTTAAGCTTTAATAGCCAAACTGAAACAACAAAAAGTACTAGACATTTTCATAATATAGCATTCAAAAATTAAATTATGACATCCATTTTCTGCTGTCTAGGACCTCCATACAAACATTGCGAGTCAAAACATTTTTATTGAATTACAAGCATCCAAGCCCATGCTCCTCAAAGCATTTGACGTAAGGAGCATTGTGGCAGTAGTTTCAACTGTAGACATAAAGTCCATGTGCTTCCCTTTCAGCAAGAGAAAAATAAAAAAAATAAAGGGAATAGAAAAAAAATTTATATATTAGTTGCCAACCTAATACATGCTAAGAAATATATATAGGCCATCCTAAGAAATATTTAAGATTTTTTAGCCTTTTAGGGTATGTTTCCTTTTTACATATAAGAAGTTCAAGAAGGCCTCCAATGCTTCCAATATATGGATTCTGTGCATTACATAAAAAATGTATCAGTATTTACTTGAAACTAACATGAACATGTATACATCTACCTTCTTAAGCTTTGATAGCCACACTGAAACAACAAAAAGTACTGGTCATTTTCATAATATAGCATTCAAAAATTAAATTATGACATCCATTTTTTGCTGTTTAGGACCTCCATACAAACATTACGAGTCAAAACATTTTTATTGAATTACAAGTATCCAAGCCCATGCTCCTCAAAGCATTTGACGTGAGAAGCATTGTGGCAGCTGCACTGAAAGAATGCCCCCCAACAGTGTATGTTGCCTGTAAGACAATCACTAATTAAAGATTTAATATACGTACATATTTAGTAATTGTGTATACCAATTCTTGTGTGATGTTTTTTACAAAAACAAAAAAACACCATGGTTAATATCAGTGTAAAATCTAGAGTATTCTCATACAAATGAAAAATATTTTTGTACGGGGAGGAAATAATTCTCCTCGTATAATCCTGTTGACCAAGTCCACGCTCCTCCGTACGACGTCGCTTTATCACTTGAAAACACAAACGTGAGCTAGCCGGCGGGTGTGTGCCGGAAACCTCTCCGATGCCTAAGTCAGAAAACTTGACAAAAAGCTCTAAGTTCTCAGGAAGATTGTGTTCAATTACCTCCTCCAAGGTGATATTTGTGGGCTTTTATAAGTTTCCTGTGGCACAATCCTAGTAGGACTTGTATTTCTCCATGCAAAGTCCTCCTAGGATTCATACTCCTAAGGATAATGCTTATCCTTTTACACCCTCCCCCACTGTTTAAACCAAGTGGGATGGTTTTCTCCATGGCCGAACTACCATTTGACCGAAGTAAAGTAGGCCGAACTATCCTTAGTTCAGCCCTTCCCTTTACTCTCCTTTATATCGGTTTCTCATCTGTTCAACCTATGGTGTGTTTGGACCGAACCAACGACTCTCGACCGGTATAACTCCAAAACCGGTATACCTTTAAGGTCGATATAACTTCAAGGCCGGTCTAACTTCAAGTTGCTCCCAGACCGAAGTACATTTACAATCCTCTAACCGAAGTAACTTTATCACTTGTGAGCCGAAGTAATTTCACCTCCTTGGGCCGGAGTAACAAGGCCGGAGTAACCTTGCTCTCCTGGGCCGGAGTATCCTTTACGGCCTTTTTACTTAGTCCTTTGCGTTTTGGGCCTCAAAGCCCAACTCGCAGCTCGGCCCCATTTTTCCCAAAAATTACCCTCTCAATTTTCATTGATCTCTTAAAAAGATTGACTCAAGAATTTGAAACATGTTCTTCACAAGTCTTCACCAACTTGACAGGAATAGATAGCAAATTCGTATTAACACCAACAGATAATGACCCTAAATCTACGGCTTCATAACCTGATGCTCTAAATACCGCCCTGTCATATCTCCAACCCCACACTTTTGGGAGTTGTAAATATGACCAGCCACCAAGGCCTCTTATGGAACCAAACGAGTTGAATACTTGCTTAATAGTGACAATTTGGTTAGTGGAAGCGTAACTAATTAACTTGTAAGCGATCAATATTGTGTAACCATAATCAGATCACAGCTTGAATCAAAATTCACATCTCAACCCAAAACCACACAAATATATTATAAACTTATTACATTGCTTCTCCTCATGTCCCAACTAGGTACAAACAAAGTAAATATTTTACACTTATTGCCTATACTGAACTCGTATAAATAGGACATAGAATAAACACAAATTATATACTACAAGTTCACATACCTAGGAATCTACCCAGAATTCTAAGGTCATCATTTCACCTAAGGTTTGACCATACCACAAGTACATCTAAATTATAACAGACGTAACCACTCCACCCAAAATGACCCTAAACCTAGGGTTTCATAACATATTTCTCTCATACCATTGTAAGGTTTGTGATATGTCAACACATATAAATCATCAATTATGCCTAATCACCACACTTAGATTTAATGAATCCCAACTCAGGCTCAATTTAACTTATTTTAACACATCCTTATACCTTGTTTGTCTATCCTTAACAATAGACAAACAACATGTGACCCTGTTTTCCTTGGGTAATCTTTCCTAAATACAAATTGGTTAACCATAATTAGGGTTTAAACCAATAACCAAGGGTTAAGACAAGATCAAATCACTTAATCACCATAATTAGGATAGTTAAGATTAACTTAATTTAATCAATATGCACTAGCGTTTCCGACTAGATTAGATTAACTTGTATATAAAGATTCCAACTACCTTTTCACCAAGCCCAGAACATAACCAATCACAACATAGGTTAGGTTAATTAACCATGCAATAATCACACTTAACTGAAAACAAGTTTTAAGTTAATTAAAGACATTAATTAGAAATTTTTATCAAAGTTCATTAAGCAAATTATTTAGCTTCCAAAATCTACATATTAAGGTTTCAAGGATTTCCTTGCTTACCAATAAAAGTAACCTTTTACACTACTAATCTCAGAAACACAATTAAAGCAAGAATGACACATAATTAATCATTTTTTTATATAAGAGATTATAAGATATAACATATAATAAAAGATAGTAGAGCTGGGATGTTGCAATAACCCTAAAATCACAAAATCTTCAATTGAGCTTAATAGAGACCAGTGGGCTTCCTGTAGCAAATATATCCGCCTTAAAATTTAAATCCTAGGGTGGTAAGAAAGTTGTCAAGGTTTCGAAGCTTCCTTGCTTAATCTGTGCACAACTATGTTCTAACACAACAACGCAATTTCAATTAGTATAGAAAAGAAGTGAGACAACATTTCTTTATTTCTGCCAATAATTCTCTATTTTTTGTTGATTAGTTGACACTTACAAATATTATCTTAATCCACCTATAATGGAGTGAGAAATATTTAAAGTTAACAATTGTACGACCATGTCTGAAAGGGCCAAAGATGCCACTTTGTCATAGTACTCCAACCTATTAAAATGTTTTAGGCAAGCCCTTATGAACGGCAACCACTTCTGCCTTCACAGAATCTCCAAAACCCACTGGTTTAAAGGAGACCACAGAAGTCACAACACGATTCATAAAAGTTCCACATGTCATAGGCATAACTTCTCCATGGCTTTAAAAGAACAGAGCAGTAATCCTCACAGCACATCAACAAAGTCTTTGTTGACAGCCAAGCAGTGTGAAGTGACACAAACTGTTTGGCAAATATTTCGCTAACTGAGCACTTTATAGTCTTAAATCTTAATGAAAACCTTTTTGTAATAAATTATCAAAGTAAATGGAGCATTTAATGCCAGAAATCAAACCTTTTGCATCAAAGAAAAGAGCTTCAAGTCACTTCTTGGGACTCCATATGCCAGGTAAGCCTGTTCAAAGTTAAGAAAATAAAGGTCAACCAAATAAATTGCCACTGTTATTTTTACTTTCACTTTCAAAAGGCAGAGCAATTGGTACCCCATTATTCTTGGAATGGTTGTGCTGACTTCATGAGAATCACAGATGCAACATCTTCTCCAGCTTCAATTTCTTATTGGCAAGCATTTTGTCCCAGTTCTTTCTCTATAGAAAATCAAGTTGTAATTGGTTCTGATTTTAAATTGTTCATTAGGGTTTGTTCACCAGAGGGTCACCTGCCGACATCCCACCATTTCTTTAAGCTAAAAAATAAAGATTTTCCCTATCTTTTCATGCTTCCTTCACTATCTCATGTTAGTTTCAACTGTAGACATAACGTCCATGTGCTTCCCTTTCAGCAAGTGGAAAATAAAAAAAATAAAGGGAATAGAAAAAAAATTTATATATTAGTTACCGACCTAATACGTGCTAAGAAATATATATAGGCCGTCCTAAGAAATATATAAGATTTTTTAGCCTTTTAGGGTATGTTTCCCTTTTACATATAAGAAGTTCAAAAATTTCTTTAACCAATCTTAGATTATTTTCAAAACGTGTTAAAGTAAAAAAAAAGTACTTTAGAGCACAATGTGCATGCACAAACACACTGCTGTTGTTATGTTTTAGTGCTGGAATGGAACTTTTTGTGACTGAATTTATTGTTGGAACAGAGGAGAAACAGAGCTTGTTTTTATTTTGTACACTCCTATATTTGGCTGGACTTGATTGAGCTTGCCCCCACCTTTCATTGATGTATTGCTGCTGTAATTGTAAGCTTATGATTCATCAATAAAGATCCTTTTTCTTTTGTTGATTTAAAAAAAAATGCTTATTTAATTTGCTTAATAGGTTAGTTTTTGATTAATTACATCTATACATATATATACATATACGTATATGAGAATTAGGCAAAGATATGCACAAATTTTGTTTATATTATTGTATTGATAATTCTAAGAATGTTCATATCATGAAAAAACAAATACTTGTATCTAAATGATGTATTAATTTATCATATGTTATCCTTTTCTAAATTTATCATACTCATGTGAATTTTATTGTATAAATGAGGTGACAGATGGATCTAGTGGCATTCACCAGGCTTCTCCACAAACACATCAGAGATCCTCTTTTGGAAGTCATGAAATGCAACCTTTTAATCGGGGTAAGTATTTCACTTATATATAATTTTTATGGAATAGAAAAATCAATATTTTCCTCTTTTTTAATGTCATTTTCATGTTTCATGTAAGTCATCATTACAAATTTTAATATCAACATCAAACTCTAATATGAAATCAAAAAATAGACCCTTGGATGTTTTTGTTGGTTGGTTGATTAGTGGCTGCTACAAACCCAACCTTTGGCATTGTTTGCATGAAGTGGCTGCCCTCAGATTATAATCTGTAGTCCAAGCATTTACCATTCCACAAAGTAATTTTCCATATATATGGTATCTACGTATGTGTATACAAACAATGTAAAAACATACATACCTGTATACACGCAATGTAAAAGCATACATGAATGAAATGGTAGGTCTATCCCAGAACTTCCCGAATTCATGTCAAATTGAATATAGATTGAGCTGTGATCACTGTAGCACATATACAAAGAATGAACATGAGATACATATATTACTTAGCAATGTTACGGTAGGGATTGGCATAGAATGCTCAGTTAGAAGATAGAATGTGATAGATTTAATTGACAATTATAGGCCATCCTTCTTTTTACGAAATGGAACATACTTTCACTCTTGGCCGCATGTCTGGTTGAATTGATATGATTTGTTAATTGAGATTGGGAGATTGCTGGTGTTAGTGTTTCATACTAGGAAGCTTTTCGGGTAGTTCAAGAGCTATTTCTTAAGGACAACAAGTAGAGCTTATGTTACTCTGCTTTTCTGGGTTGAACTATTGGCAGTTTTATGTGTTTGGGTTGTTCAATTTTCTGTTAGAATTATTAGAGTAACTAATGATTGTAGTGCTCTGTTCGACCTTAGTCTCACCACACAACCTCCAATCTTCTTCTTCATCACTGTATATATATATATTGAAAGTGCCCAGTTTCATTTTTCCTTTTTAACTTCGAGATGTTAGCTATACAGGTTGCATATGTTTGATTGTTTGCTTTCAAATGCTTTATTTTTATTTTTATTTTTATTTTTTTCATTTCCTTTTGTTTTTGTTTTTGAACTAAGTGTTGCGACTATTGAATATATAAAAATTTAATGGAGCTTCTTTGATCTGTCAATAGAGATGCTTCGTCTCTGTAATTTCTTCATTTTTGTAGAATCTTTATTGCTCATGAATGCTTGATCTGCACAAAATGTGATTCAAATGCATGAAAATTGTAACTTTCTTATAGATTAGCAGTTCAAGCTCTTCAGTTTTGATGATTTTATTGTGTGTTGTTTAATGATTTTTATTTTTATATTTTTTCCAATTTTCTTGGGTGTAGAAGAAAGTTTGAAAATTTATAGCACTCCAATTGTTTGTTCTAAAGCCTAAAAAGAGACTCATTGATGACTTTGGTTTATCAAAATAACTTGCTTGAATTTTGAAACTATACCCTTATTTGATCTGTGTTGTTCTCAGTTTTCGATTCGTCAATTTGATTGGCTAATGGTGATATTTGTTTGTTACAGGGGAATTTTGTGCTATTCCAGGAAGAAAACCTGAACCTTGTACTGCTTTTTATTCTTCTTACTAGTGCAGGTAACTCATGTTCATTGAATGATAAATTTTAGTGAATGAATGCATTTTCAAAATTTTGGCATATTTACGAAGGACTGCAGGCTAGGGTTGCCTAATTGTTAAGTGTTTTTGTATGGGACACGGACATTCAACACACCACCGATATCTGAAATGCACTCAAAGTATTTGCACAATCAACATTCAATTGCATTTGTTTTGTAGAACATTAAATATTTGAGATGGATATAGCCTCTTAAATTAAGTTGTTGGTTATAGTAAAATTTCTGTTGAACTTGTAATTTCTATGGGTAAAAAGTGACATTTTGTTTTTACATGCTTCATGTTATGGTAGAGGTATTTAATGTTAAGACATTTGAAGGGGTGTGATTAGTTGGACTTTATCTTTTGTAAGATTAGAACAATCTCTACAAATAGTTAGTTTATTCATATGCTTCTAGTGGTGTCTGAATTAATTTGTGTTTTTATTTTTCAGGTTAGAAATTTCTTGGAAAGATGCAAAATATGGTCAAAGAATTCAAGGACTTAGTTTTTCAAGTTTTTATTTTTTATTTTTTAATATATGTAAGCACAGTTTAAATTTTTTTATTTAATTCCTTTGTATATACTTTTGCACATATTTAACTTTCATTTATGAAGTATATGACGTTATTCCATTGAATATGTGGTTATGATTCAAAGTATAGTATATAGTGTGTATTACATTCTTGAAATGCGCGTACAAAAATAATATTGATTATTCTTCAAATATGTCGAATCTTTTTAGTAATTAATCACACTTAAAAGATGTGATCTAAAGTTTATTATCACAGGTTTTATTAGTTTTTAATCACACTTAAAAGATGTGATCTAAATATTTTTAATCACACTTAAAAGGTGTGATCTAAAGTTTATTATCACAGGTTTTAGTAGTTTTTAATCACACTTAAAAGATGTGATCTAAATATTTTTAATCACACTTAAAAGGTGTGATCTAAATGTTATTAATCACACTTAAAAGGTGTGATCTAAATATTATTAATCACACTTAAAATGTGTGATCTAAATGTTTTTAATCACACTTAAAAGGTGTGATTAAAAAGGACCCCTTTTAATCACACTCCCAAAGATCACACTTTAATAAAACTTAAAATGTGTGATTAAATAACAAACATCACACAAAAAAAGTGTGATCTTTATCTGTTTTTATAGAAGTGCGCACGCACATTTATTACAACATTGTGCCCTCGCGAAGGAGGGTCTGAATGAATAAGCTAAGCTACACTAAGCTAAACTAATTATTACAAACCAAAACTAATTAACTAATCTAGCTAATTAATTATTACAACACAATTGAATGACTAGCTATGCTAAGCTAATTAAGTATAACACTTGAATTGAACAATTAGCTACGCTAACTAACTAGTAAAGCAATTTAAATAAAGCAAGTAAATGGCCTCAAAGACGAGGGATGTATGCATGCTCGGTTGGCTTCCTCCCGAAAATCCATTGCCTTGCCATCGATTGCCTCTGTTTGCACTTGCTTTGATCTGTGAACATTGTACCAACTTCCAGATTGCCTCTGCTCCAACACAGGAACACTTTTGTGCAAAAATTGACTGGTGGTCGGTCGGTTACAAAAAGTGGCTGTCGGCCACAACAACTGGCCGGTCGACTAGCTCAAGTGGCCGGTCGGCCACCTGCTTTTTTGGACTTCTGTTTTTGTTGCAACAGAGGCAAAACAAAGCATTTTCAAGGAATGTGTGTACTGCTACACTCCTTATCATTTCTCAAGCTCAAAGGAATGTAGCTCTTGGCTCTCAAGCCATCAATCAAACATTTTCAATGCATGATGGCTAGAGAACCAAGCTTGTACAAGCTTAATGAATGCACAAATAAGACTCAAAGGACCACCACCCTATCATGCATGATCAAGGGTGACGGAGACCAAGAAACGTGAAACATTTCATCACTTTGAGTATGAAACGTCCCACATTTCTTATGTTTGGATTAACGTCCGATCCAAACACATGCATTGCAACACAACATGCTTAACTTGCTCAAGTTTTACTTGTCATGTTTTATTTACACATTTTACATTACGATTAGTCCTTTAATCGATTAGTCCAAAGTGTTTGTCCTCTAATGAAAGAGGGGTCAACCAAAGGATGATTTAAGACATGAGAGAGATCATGCCTTTGGTTAGTAGAAACCCTCAAAAGAGGATTAAAACTATTGAGCACAAGCTCTATCTCAAGCTTAAACACAACCTTAAGGTTAACCAACCCTCAAAACAAATGAAAAAGTGAAGAAATGATGGAGGTTGCAATATTTCAGTGCTGCAATGGCATGAAAAATGATACTACAGCATGCAAGCAACTCATGCACAACATGTTCAGAAGCCAAAAACACTAAGCTAGTAAAGAGCACTACACTAGAACTATGCAATATAAAGTTCAAATGACCAAACCAGCTCTGGACAGAGCTTAAACATGCCAAAACAGTGGCTAAAACATGTTGAGATTGAAGCACAAAAGGCTATAAAAACATGCTCATTTGTTAGCTTGCAAACAAGGCACAAAACACAACTCTCAAAAGCAATGAAAGAGTGAAGTAAGCGAGAGTGTAACAGAGATATATACACTGAAATCACATGTTAAATGATGCTACAACATGCAATCACCTCAAGCAAAGCATGATTAAAGGCCTAAAACACTAAGCTAGTGAAGGCACACGCACTACAACCATGCAAAACAAGGCTCATATGGTCAAAGTAGTCCCAAACAGAGCTAAAGTAGGCCAAATCAGAGCCTAAAACATGCTGAGATCAAGTCGCAAAAAGGTAGAAAAACATGCTTACATGTTAAGCTATCTACACTTGCAAACAAGACATAATGAGGGAAGCCCACCCCCTCCTATTTTAGACCACAAAACCAAGTTTTTACCACTGAAATTTCCCTGGAATTCAGTGGCTAAAAAGCCAAAAAAAGTTGTTTTAAAAGCTTTAAAAAAAGGCACAACACTTTAGCAAACAAGCTATAAAAGGGTGGACCACCCCTTACTCCAAAACAAACCTCAAACCATCACTGTAAACCATAAAAAAAAAAAAAAGAAGAGATTTCAGAGGTTAAAACCAATCTAAAAACAGCATGCAAAGGTGGCCAAACAAGTAACTAAAACAAAGCTTAAATGAGGTAAGCCTTATACTTTTGAAGCACAGTACTAAAACAACAACAATTCTGAGCTAAAACCACTATTAAGAACTCAAACTAGGCCTCCAAGAATCTCAGCTCCAAGATGAAGGTGTTTGGTTAAGGGTCCTAGAACAAAAGTGTAGAGAATTCTCACTTTCAAGCACAAAATAGGGAGAGAGAGAGGATTCTAGAGAGAGAGAGAGGAAATTTGCTTACAAATTTTTGTAACCCCTCAAATAAGGGAGAGACACCCCATTATATAGAAATGCAAGCCAAAGGCTTGCATTCATCCCTCCATACACGTGTATGGAGATGGCATTCAGTGATCAACAGTTGGCACAGCTGGCAAAGAAAATATCTGAAAAAGGAGAAAAATGGCTGTCGGCCACTTTAGGTTGACGGCCGGCCACCTCCCCTAGCCGACCGACCACTTTAAGTGGCCAACAAGGGGGAAAAGGGCCAAAAGTGGCCAACAAGGCCCTTCTCCCCACCCTCCTCCAGGCAAGAGGCACCAAGATTTGGTCCAAAAAGCAAGCACAAAACAAAGAGGGTTTAAAGGCTCAAAAACACGGCGTTCTGCCGAGAACTTCGGGCACTCAAAACGAGCACAAACAAACACAATCATCGAGTGCACAAACGATGACGTCTAAGTCTTGAGGTCGGTCAAAAATAGGGTGTCTACAGGTAAGTTTTTAAATTAAATATCATAAATCATATCATTTATTTCAAACTCAATTCAAAACTCTTTTCAAAATTCATAACCAAACAAATTTTTCACGCTCAAACCATAATTCCAAAACTCACAAACTCAAAATAGCTCTCTATTCTCAAGTTATATCTAGAAAATTCTATGAAACACTACTGAACTCTCTCTAAGAACAGAATTTCTAGGGTTTTTGTGCTCCTCTTAGCTGAAGATTGTTTGCACATACCGAGGTATGCTATATCTACATATATATTTATATATATATATATATATATTGCCTATGTTCAGGAAGTTGGTTTTGGAGCTTTTTTGGCTAAAATAGCTACAAAAAAAACAAAATAGGCTTTTTAGCCCAATAAGACAAAACATCACATGTAACCTATAATCATTATATTCTTTCTCTTACAAAAAAGCTAAAAAAGTCAAAAGCCCTTTCCAAACCAGGCTTTTTAGCCTTAGGCTAAAAAAGTCAAAAAGTCAAAAAGCCAACCCACTTCCCAAACGAAGCCATTGTTTTCTTTCTTACTTTGCATTGGTTAGGGTTTTCAACTTTCTCTGCAAGCCCTGTGGTTGTTTGTGCTCTGTAATGCCTTGTTTCCGCTATTTTTCTTTGCAATGCCTTGTTTAATTGTTGAGCGAGGGAAATTGAACATTGTGGTTTGAGTACTTGTTTCCTATGAGGAAGATTTACACACTTTAGGTCAGACTGTATTTTTATACCAGGTTTGGGAATCTAGGAGATAAAAAGAAGATGAATGATTTTTCAAGAAAAGAAAAGAGAAGAAAAAATTGGGTTTTCTCTCCATCTTGTTTGTTTGGTTAAGTTGGAGAGAAATTTCTCTCCAATGTTATTTGAATAAATTAATATAAAAGAAAAGGAAATAAATTTTTATAGGTTATATTATACTTTTTTATGTTTTTATTTCTTTAGTATTAGATGGACATGTTTGGTATTATGTAAAACTAGTAATTATTTGTTTCTTTTCTCTCCCAATCTCTCTGATTTTGGAGAGCAGTGGGTTATAAGAGAACATTTTCTCTCTATTTCCTTCAATTTCTTCTTGTTTCTCTCCTTTTTGGTAATCCACACAAGTGATCAGGATCCTAGCTCTTCCTACCAACACCTAGTGGCGGCTCCAGATATTTTTTTTTGGGTTAATTACACTAATAGTCCCTATAGTTTGGGACTTGTACCACTTTGGTCCCTGACTTTTCAATTGTGACACATTTGACCCTGAATTTTGAATATTGTTCCAAATAAGGACAATTGAAAATATCATTAGATTTTTCAAGGGTAAAATCGTCAATTTGATAAAATATAAATTAATTTGACAAAAATAAATGTCAAAAAAATATTTTTAATTTTTTTAAAATTCTTTTTATCCACCAATGATAAAATTATGTAAGATTAATAAAAATTACATGATTAATTTTTTAAAATAAATTTTACATGATCATCATCCAAACACATAATAAAAATTAATTTGGTAAAAAAAATAA